CTCTCTCTCTCTCTCTCTCTCTCTCTCTCTCTCTCTCTCTCTCTCTCTCCTTTTAACAATTAAATGTATACTCCACCTTTATATCTAAGCTTGTTACCCAATCAGACAATACAAAAAAAAAAACCTGCCTTAGAACACTATATCTTTCATGCACCCATGTTAATAACTATTGGTCTATAAATCTTTCATTTCTCGGGAGTTTCTGAATTCCTTATATAGTTCTTCTGGGGCCGTGATGGAGTTGGAACGTAAGCACGTTTTATAAAACGCATAAGATTATTTACACGATAGGAGTTCGAGCCGGTGCTGTTTTGTCACCGGATGTCTCCAGGTGGATTGGGCTTCAGAATTCAGAAAAGCCACCGTGGTAGGGATTGATGGGAGCTGAAGCCAACACGGTTGAAAATGTACTGCAGCTTTCCCTTTTACACGGGGCCACCTGAAACATTACCGGGCGGAACTGACCTCGCTTGTCTAAGCTAATGAAAGCCTCCAGTCCAAGTCACTGCTCCTTCGGTGCTAAAAGTCTGTCCTTCAGGCCTTGTCCCACGCACCCTGAAGCCTGGCAGGAAAGAGCTGCCCGCCCGCCGCATTCCTACCTGAAGCAGGTGAGACCCCAACTCGCGACCGACGTTGTCCAGAGTGCTGGTTCGACTTGTGTGGCCCCAGGCCTCCCCGAGTCCTGTCGAGACAAAATGCGTCAAAAAGAGAGGGGAGGGGGGCGAGGGAAAAGAGATAGAGAGGGAGCCCGAGATATTCTTTGCCTTTGACGGGCCTTAAACATCAAGGGTTGGGCTGGCAGGGAAAGGAATCGGGAGAATGGTATCAGTATTTTTCTAGGGACTGTATTTTACGGCTCAAACAACAGGAAAATTGTGTAGCATCAATCCTCTGCCCCTCCCACCCCCTCTGCCCCTCCCTCCCTCTCTCTTTATCACCCCCCCCGCCGCCGCCCTATACACACACACACACACTACTCAGCGTGTCTTTGTGGTATTCCTCTCTCAGGACTGCCCCGAATATCTGAGGAGGCCCATAATCCTCAGCAACCGATGTGCTAATAAACGCTTTAGTCTTCTAGGTGTCACAGGTCTCCTGGTCGTCGTAATTTATGAGAGTGTTTCTTAAATTAGCGGACCCGGAATGATCGAACAGACAACTTCCGTCCTCCGCAGACAGAGCGATAGCTGGGAGCGATGGGGATTGTCGTCCTTTCCGTGTATGGGATGAGGAAAATAGCGTTTCCGACGAGTGCCATCCTGTTAAACTGCAATCCTTCTTCCACCACCTCAATCTACAAAAGAGTAGATAGTCCCACCCAAACCGCTACTTTGAAATTCAGGCGGTTCATTGCACTATTACTGTTTCGTTTGCTCAATAAACCCAAGATCGAAGAGGAATTTCCCTCCAAAGACTAGAATTAATTAATATGTCAAAGAATCGAAACACAGCGACTTGGCCATTTGAAGTCTTTCCCGCTCCCTTATCTCCAACCAAATCCCTGGGCCTCCCAAAATTAGGATGGCCGAAACTGGAGCAAACAAGCCATGGCGACCCAAAGACCCGGCAAGTACCGCTGGTCCGCAGCAAAGTCTTCAGTTTAAATACGAAGGAAAGTCTAACCGTAACAAATCCCTAGCTTTCCCGTTCAAACTCGGGGGAATTCGGCCGCTCAGAGGCTAATAATACTTTAGCCCATTAGTGACGGCGGAGCAATAAACAATAAGATGCTGACAATAAGACACTTTTAAAAACCTTCCTCCTGTCCCGTTGCTTGACAGAACTTTATTTGGGGTGGGGTGGGGGGTGGACTTTTCCGCTGAGTGAAGCTCCTGGGGAGTTCGCGAATAGTTGAGGAGGAGGCCGGATGTCATTGCTTTCTTCTGGAGATATTTAGTGCGTTCCTAGTGGGACCCACACCTGAGATTCTACCTTCGTTAGTCCCACCTTGTTCAGTCTTTTATGCCCAGGCAACGCCAGCCAGGATCGTCTTGGTAAGCCACCCAGCCCGGTAAATGCATTGCTGATTCCTTGTTTCTAAACTCCGGAGAGCTGCCCAGCGATTTCCTTCAGTTTTCCTTAAATCCCTGATCTCATTGTTTTTGCTTCAGATTATAAAGCGGTTCTCTCGGATCCAAGAAAAAAATAATTCTTCGGCTCTAACCCCCCACCCCTCACCCCCGCGACAGATAAGCGGGGTAGTCTTTCCTATACGATCGTGCCCTCTCTCTCACACACACACCATTATTGATTTTTAGTTTCCTTTGTTGAGCTGCCAGCAGAAGCCTTTGGCTCCGTTCCCACAGTTCCGCCCAACCTCCTTTCAGCGGGTCCTTGCGTGGTGCGAACTCTACCGAATTAGCATTTGTTTGGTCTTCGCCTAGCGCCACCTAAGAATCCAAGGCGCCCTCCAGCCTTGGTGCTAAGGTTATCAAAGTTTGTGGCCTTGGAAGCCTCTAAAATGGTCGATGGTTTTTGCCTGACCTCTTTCCGTGAACCAAATCGGTTATTTCACTAGAGTCACGGTGGGGCAAGACATAAAAATATTACTTTTTTTTTTTTACAATTGTTTTCAATCTGTATATATGTGGTGCAAAAACTCAGCCAGCGTCTTTAACTACTCCATCTTCAGGAATGAAATCCAGTCTGCCCGGCCGATGGGGGTGGGACGATTCGGGAGACCTTTTGACTCACCAGGATAGCACGTTCCTCAACTCCACCCCACCCAATACAACGAAAGAAAGGGTTGCTTTGGTGTAGACACCAGGCTAGAAACCAGGAGACGGTGTGTTCTAGTCCAGCTTTAGGCACAAAGTGAGTTAGGTCAGGGGTCTCCAACCTTGGCAACTTTAAGACTTGTGGACTTCAATTCCCAGAATGGCTGAGGAACTCTGGGAGTTGAAGTCCATAAGTCTTAAAGTTGCCAAGGTTGGAGACTCCTGAATTAGGTGACCTTGATCTAGTCACTCTCTCTCTCAACTCGAGGAAGTAAGCAATGGCAGAACAGAGAAAACTGCAGGGACCTGTCAATCAATTAAAAAGAAAAAAAGGACCCTTTCAATTTTTTTTACCCGTTCCCTTCTGTCTGCCCCCATCTCCTGATTATTACACAAAATTGCACACACACACACACCCTGCAATACCCACAACCAGATCAGCCAGATTCCGTGACATCGCCCCCCCCCCTCACATGGTCTCCTTTTTTCGCCTTCTCTAGGCGGGGTGTGAAACCAAAAATGGCGCTTTGAGTGACGCCTTTTCCACTGACCGACTTTTACCGAGGGACTTGGACAGGACCTAAATGTGACTGACCCCAAAGCCACTTCAATCAATAAGACCGTTTCCCAAAGACAAAAGGACTAATTTTACTACTAGGGGACAAGGGCAAAAGAGAAATGGATGGAGGAAATGGCTATGTTTGGTGAACATCACAGGGAAGAGGGAGCTTAAAGACCAGTGTCACCTGGGACAGGCCTGAATAAGGAGATGGCAATCCTGCTTCACCACACTTCTTTTCACTGCCGCCTCCTCCTCCAATCTGCATCTCGCCTTCATTTTCTTGAAAGCGGCGCCATGCCAAGATCTGCGCTTTCCCTTCTTGCCGACGCAAGTTGATCTCTCTGGAAGAAGGCTGGGCATTCCTACCAGCTGCCACCTTCTGTCTCTTCTTCTTCTCAACCACTCTCACCCATATGAAGCATCTCCACCGTTAGTGGCTCACCATTCCACTACACTACTCTTTTCATTTCTTTCTCTGAGATTCTGAAGTCTACAATGTGGGTGTTTAAAATACTGGTCTGGTGTTGTCTCGCTGTTCATAAAAGGTATGGGAAAGGCTGCACCTTGAAAAATATATTGTAAGCCAGCAAACAAATTGTATAAATAAATAAATACACGCACACATGCATACATACATACATGCATACACACGCACACATATTTCTAAAACACATTAATTCTGTGTATAACTTTCTTCTCCGCTTTGCATACTTTTACTTAAGGGTGTCAGCAAACAAAGTTTTAAAAAGTGTTTGAATAAAACTTTGCATGTTTTTTAAAAATACGTCTTGCTTCAGTGGTGGGATTTAAAAAATTGTACTACCGTATCTGTGGACATGGCTGGGTGAACGTGGCAAGGGAAGGTTATTACAAAATCCCATTCCCTCCCCACCCCACTAACCTGCTTTCCAGTTCCATTCTCCTGTGCAGGGCAACAAAAGAAGACCCAGCCGATCAGCTGGGACTCGGGAGGCAGAGAATAGATAGGGGTGGGGCCAGTCAGAGGTGGTATTTGCCAGTTCTCTCGAACTACTCAAAATTTCCGCTACCGCTTCTCCAGAACCGGTCAGAACCTGCTGAATACCACCTCTGTATTGCTTACCAACTTTGTTCAGACTGTTGCAGTCACCTCTTGATTTTTTTTAAAATCCATGCTCGGTGAATATTCCTGTTCCTAAATGTCTATGGGGCTTCTCAGTCATCCAGATCATGGTTGTCCCCAAAGTGCTTTTTCAGGGGCAACTGGACTTTCTTCAGCTTCAGAGCTGAAGAAGCTTCTTGGATGAGAAGCAAAATGCCTTCAAAGAAAAACCAGAAAGTTTTTGAAAAAGCAACTTTGGGACTCCCAAAGTTTCTACTCTTCCCTCTACTTCCCGAGGTACCAGTGTGGGATGAATTTGCTCTATTGTCCCTTCAGAACAGCCTAGTCTGCAATCCTGTCCATCCCAGTGAACTTGGATCTGAGGTATCTTGCAGACCCACTAGCCACCTAGCGAGTAAGTTTCAGTTTGCAAACCTGCATCCATTTTCCTGGCAATTGGTCAACGGAACTCAGTTCTATGTAAGCATGGACAGAATTTTGTTCTTCATCCCATGATCCATGATTATTATCTAGACATCCCCAATAGATGTTTTTGAAAATCCTGGACTGAGCTATGCAATCAAGGCTTCTTAAATCAATCATGCCTTTTTAAATGGTCTCCAAATGCTGGTGTTAGATCCCACTTAGAACTTGCTAAAGCCTAAAAAAAAAACTTCAGCAGCAGCTCTGGTTTTGACCATTTCTGGATGATGTTCCCACTGGATTGATTCATCCTCCTTTCCCCCAGAAGAAAAACCTTGAAACAGCAGAAAATAGATTAAGAGCAGGCCTAAAACAATGGGTACATTTTCTGACTTGACATATGCCAGACAGGAAAGCAAGATGAATCACTGAAGTACTAGATGTCCATTAGCATTTTCTATTTATCAGGCAGGGAAGGACAAGAAAACATGACATGCTGGTTGAACTATTGAACAGAGCCCCCCCCGAGCCCTAAAGCATTGTGGGGGAATCGAGGCACTTGCTTTAGCTCAGCCTCACCTATCTGACAGGTTTGGTGTGAAAAAAGGCTAACATGGAAGGACAAGGTGTGTTACTTTGGATTCCTTAGAAATAAGACATGTGAATGTAAAAAACCAAGATTGAGGTTTTCCTTCCATACTTGCCCTTAACCACAGTATGGACATGCCTTGTCCATCTTTTTTCTGCCAACCTCATTGACCTTGCCTTTGTCTCATCTCCAGCCTGAAACTGAGGCAGTCTGAAGTCTAAAATCCGAAGGAAGGAGCTGCTGTAATTTTAAGGTTGTGCTTTCCTTCTTATTCTGACATCATTCTCGCAATTGATATGATCTGGCATGC